TAAAAAAACCACACCTTATTTGGGCTGGATCCTCCAAGCCCTGTGCAGCCATCAGCCAGCTGATCCAGTTTGCAGTAGGAGGCTGAGAGAAAATGTAAAATTTTTTTTTTTTAATCTCCCTTGGTTTTTCACACTGTATTGGCAGAGAGGTTTAGACTCTGTCCTGGGATCAGCCACTAGCTGTCCCTAAATAAGCTAAATCTCAGGTTCATGGCAGTGCTGTGGGATGGGGGGCCAGGAAGGGCATGGGGGTTTGGGAGGGGGTGAGTGCCTGCCCTGCACCACCGCAGGGCTGGTGTGTTGGAGTGCTGGGGTGACTGCTGGGACCTCAGGGAGATCCCAGCCACATTAGAGAAGAAGGTTGGTCAGGGACTCTCTCATTCCTGATTGCAGAAGGGTTTCTCCTTGCAAGCATAGAAGGGGCTGTCACCAGCTGCAGAGAGAGGTGGGAGCAGGGTTTTGTTTTCAGGGATAGTCAAAGCATTTATTTTCATACCCCCCTTTGCTTCCACTCACTGCCTCCATCCTAATACAGTATTTTTCCAGAAACTCTACTTTGTGTGAGATGTAACACTCTTACCAGGGACAAGTGAAGTGCCAGCCAGCAAACACAAGCAAGTCTGTCCTTCAAGTGCAACACTGCTTCCAAGACAAACTTGAAAACACGTATTTTTTTTTTTTTTCCTTTCAATGGAAGTCTATTTAATCCTCCAGCTGTTAAGTCAACCCAATCTGTGATGCACAGCAAGCTCTGGAAGGAAACCTCTATCACTGAAGCTCAGTTTTGTTCCACTGAAAGGAGAAACTCATCAGCTTCACATGAGCCACCAGTGATGGGGCCAGCAGCTCCACAGCATGAAGTAGCCACAGCAGAGGCGAAGTGTCTGCCACACGCCAAAGGCTGGAGCAAGCAGGGCTGATAGCAGCAGTCGGAGGAAGGGGCCAGCTCACCACTAGCGGCTAAGCCACACTGGACTGCGGCAACGCTCAACGCTGCAGGAAGGGGTATGTGTGTGTTTATATAATAAATATGATGATGTACACACACACACACATACACGTAGACATACATAAACCACATGGCTGTTAAGTATTACAAATATAATCACTCAGTATATAATATGTAAGTATAATCATAAATGCTCTTTAATTATTCTTGTAATACATACTTTGCACACATATACATATTACATTTAGTGCATGTATTATCACCTATATTTCAATTATTTCCAATTACTGTATTGTACGTTATAATATAATAATTATTTACATTATATATGTGTGCACACATGAACGTACCAAAGTCAGGCTGTTCTTACTTACTTTTTGCATCTCTGGTGCCCTGACAGCTCCCCAAAGAGCTTGAACCCGAGGGCCAGCCCGGCAGGGTGGGCACTTGCCCCCCTCACCCCTCGCTGAGTGCTCCTGTGGTGCACTTGCCCCACACCAGCTGTGTGACACGGGTGCTCTCTGATTCAGAAGTCTGAACACTACTTCAGATGGAAACAGCCATCTTCTGGTTTTTGCTTTATTTTTAATAGGCACTTGATGGGAGGGCTGGAGAAGGGAGGGTTTAAGTAGAGGTTGCAAGGTTATTCCTTGCCTGAGGCTGAGCCGTGTGCAATAGTCATGTCTAACTTGGATTTTTCCGTTTGTCTTTAGGCTCTTGTTGCCAAGCCAGGGTGACCTTGGCAGCACTGACTGTGGCGGCTCTCCCTTCGCCACCCCGGCTGGTTCTCCTGCCCCAACGTGTGGCTACCAAAATGCCAGTGAAGACTCCAGCCCAGGCAGAAAATGGTGCTGCCTGGCCAGCAGGTCCCATGCACCCCCGACACCCCAGCAGATGAGCTGCTTGGTTATGGGGCAGGCATCTAATTGCAGCCACACTCACTTGGGTGTCTCTTCTTTTGGCAGGGCTGGTGCATTTACTGCTCTCGCCTGGCTGCTTTGCCATGGGATGTCCCCTCCTTGTCCCCCATTCCAGCTGCTCCTAGCACTCCTGGGTTCAGGAACTCAGTGTGGGGCCATGGGGGTAGTGGCCACACTTACCCCTGGGCTCCAGCCCTGCAGTGAGGGTTCATTTCCCTGCTGAAATACAAGTGTTTTGGGGTTGTTTTGTTTTTTTTGACAGTGTAAGGCTTGTATTCAAGGGCACCAAAAGAAGTGTGTGCCCAGGTAGAAATGTCCCTGCTGCCTTTGGGGTTATCCCTTTGCTCTTTCTCCAGGTGACAGCAACAGAGTTCGTTCCCGGTGGGATGGTTGGTCCTGTCTTCACCTCGCTGATTACAGGGCTGCCTGAGAAGTCTTCGCCTCCACCTGCCATCAAACCTTGGCCAAAACACAGCACAGCACACAGTATGTGGTCCCACTGGCCAGCTGCACCCCAAGCCCCATTGCCACCAAGACAAACACATCCCACAGGGCTGCTGTGTTTTGGTGCTCTTGTTTGCACATCAGCTGCCATCACATTCCCAGTCCCAAGTAGAGGAGAAAACCAAATCCAATTACACTTTAGAGGTGGCCTGGACTACCTTGATATTTTCTCCTCTAGCAAGAAAAAGGGGTGCAGTGAAACAGCTAAAAAAGCCGCAAACAATTCGGAGCCCCCGAGAGAAACGGTTCCTCGCACCCGAAGTCATCCAGGAAATGAAAACGCTTGTAGTTGGGATCACCAGTCACATGGTGTCCTCGTAACTCCGCTTTGCTCCAGCCCTGCAGCGGTTTTCGGTGCGAGCCGGGAGGAGGTGGGGCCGGGGCCGCCCCCCCCTCCGGCCCCGCAGCCCCCGGCCCCGGCTGCCGCTCGGCTTTGGCCCGGGCACAGCCCGGCCAGCCCCGCGACGTCCCAGTCCGGGCTGAAGGCAGTGGCTTCTGAAATATGAAGTGGCCGTTTTCTGTTTGCATGGGCAGGTTTTGCTTTGGGAAGCGGTATTTAGGCAGGGGGGAAACCAAGGGTATCACCTAAATGGGTTGGATTGTGGCTGTTGGTTGTTTTTATTAAGAAAAAGTCCAAAGGTGGGTATTTTCTATGTGACCCAAAAGGCGCCCAAGTCTCAGCAGGGTATTGCCCGTAGCAGACCACGGCTGAGGCTGGAGGGCTCCATTCGCTCCACACCCGTGTGGCTTTGCTGTTGTTTGGGGCAATGGGTCAGGTCAGAGGGGGATGCCAGGGGACAGGCTGCCGGTCAAATACCCATCACAACCGGGACCGTCTCCAAATCACCACCATTGCAGGAATGGTTAGAAACCAGCTGGCTAAAAGACAGAGCCCAGCGCGTGCCATTCCCTCGCTTTCACACCAAAGGGAGCCCAAAGGGGCTCCCAGCCAGCCAGCTATTGCCTGATCACCCACAGGCAGCACAGCCGGGAGAGAGTCTGTGTATCTGTCCTTGCCACTCACTGGTGCCATCAGCTTTTAAGAGCTACTTGCAGGGAACAATATTTAGGGGAAAAAAAAAAAAAAAAAAAAAGAAATCCATCCCTTTGTGACTCTGAGTCTGACCCCAAATTATGATTCATGACCAAAAGCGATGAAAAGCGCTTGTGGTGACTTGAACAATGATTTTTTCCAACCAGAGGCAGTGCTAAGCAGGGAACGCGAGACTCCTGAGAAAGCAGGAGGAATGCACTCCGAACCTGAACACTGCAGATGAAATTTGTTGCATCATATAATCTGGTTTTGTGCTTCGAGTTTCAGCTAGATGGGGAGATACTAAGATACCGAGAAAGGCCATTTCCATGAGATCTCCAGTCCAGATTGGGAGAATCAGTCAGACTGCCAGGATCACCAGCAATTTTATTTACTTTTCTTTTTCATTGCTTTGCTAAACCTGATCTCCAAACCAAGCAACCAAAGAGGGTGTCAGCATATAGATGCCAATGAGAGACAGAGAGAAAAAGGGTTAAGATATAACAGCCAAAAGTTGTTAGATGGAAACATTATTTTTTTAAAAAGCCTGAGAGCACTGGGGTTTTATAAAACCTCCCATTGTATTGCACTAATAGGTCAAGTGTTTGCAGCCGAGCCAGCAGACACACTCTACAGCAAATTCTATTACCAGCATGTTTATTTACAAAGGCAGCCACTGACCCAAAGCCAAACAGAAAAGAAGAAAGACTGAAATATAGTTTTAAAGAAATACAGCTCATTTGACTGGTTTTAATTTAAAATCCTAGGGCTGGGTTTGTCATTTTCTTTTGTGTTTTGCGCCCTCCTCCCCATTTCATCTTCAAGGAATGAATTCCAAAGCCAGCCAGCCAAAGGGGAATTTTCCTCTAGGTGTCTCTGTCCCCATTTTTATTCACAGTTTTATCTCATGCACACGCACGCACTCACACAGGCACACGCACGTACACACTCGCCTCCTCTGGCCTTCCCAGTCCAGCACCACCTTTCCATTACCACAGTGCTCCCCGAAGCACTTTATGACTCAAACCTGCCCCCGCACCTTTCCCCGTGCCCCCTGCACCGTGGCCACCCGGCACAGGGGGCACGGGCTGTGCACCAGGGCAGCGCCTGGTGCCATCTGGGTCCCAGCGGGGCCACGGGCAGGACAACACAGACAGTGTGATTTCAGCTGAGCAGACACCTGCACCTGTGCTGTACGTATGGCTTTGCAAAGCAGTCATCGCCTGCTCTTGAAAAACAGCAGGTGTGGGGCATAGATTTATTGAATTTGACCAGAAATCCACAGATATGCCCACACAGAGGCACTGAGTGCTCTGCTGTTGTAATTCAGGAGAAAACACTTTGTCTCTATCAGCCCATACCTGCTGCAAACCTGCTCCCCTCTTTCTCTTGGGAGTATTTTGCATCCCAACAGAGAGCACCTGGAAGGAGAGGAACAAAAAAGCCTTCCAGGCTTCGTCAGGCAGAAATACATAGTCACAGTAACACACCACTGCCTGCCCCAGCAATGGGGACGGCACGGGAAGCTGGGAGAGGATGGAGAAGAACAATGTGAAAAGAAAAGGTGGGAGCAACTTTAAGCAAAGGGGAAAACTTACATTAAATTATTGCTTTATTTCTGGTTCTATGCAAATCTCTGACACACTCCACCCTGCCCCCAGGATGTCAAGTCCACCCCAAACAGCCCAGTAAGGAGGAGAAAGACCTGAAGGGATCCTGCCCAAAAAAGGAGTCTTCCCAAGACTTGGATCTACAGAGGAGTCTCTTAGTTAAAAGGAAGTCCTCATCCAAGGTAAGCCATCAGTGTTCACTTCCACCACCACCATCCTCTGTAGATGTTGAAGGGTGGGAAGGGAAGGAAAAGCTCCAGCCCCAGTGTTTTGAGAGGGGTCCTCCCTCCAGACCATGCATGAATGAGGTATCAGGATGTGGAACAGACTATAACAGAGAGGGCATGGGGGAGAAGTCAACCAAGAGATGAGCACAGGGTGGGAGGAGAGGAATTGTGGCAAGATGAGAGTTACCCAGCTCTCTCTCACCTCTCCCCCCAGCCCCTGCTTCATCGGATGCGGAGGTATGAGGGGATGGAGTAATTGAAGAGTAAGTAGTCCATTTTGTATAAATTAAAGAGTCTCCTTTGGTAGAAAGGGCTAATGTCCTGGAAGAACTGGGCCGTCATGTCATCTGTTGTCCTGGTGGTCTTGGATGAAGATGGAAACTTGACGCTCGTGTCGGCCCCAACCAGCTGGAGGATGTAGTTGGCATCTTCAGCCAACGTCTCGTACTTGCCCACCACGTCATAGTGGACAATGCAGGGGTGGCAGAGCGAGTGCACCCGCTCCCAGTGCTCATTGAAGGGCTCCTCCCGCTGCGTCCGTGGATCCAGCAGGTAGTAGACAAACTCCTCAAAGCGCACGTCGTCCCCACGCTCCAGGGCCTTGTCACTGGGCTCCTGCCGGTGCCGCCGGATGATCTTGGTCCCGTAGCGCTTGTGGAAGGCCGTGTTGTAGCTGCGGGTGAACTTGTTGCGGTACGCCGAGACCAGGCGCTCAAAGGGCTCCCGCACAAAGATGAACTTGAGGTAGCTGCGCAGGCGGTGGTTGATCTCGGGGATGCTGTACTCAGAGAGGGTGCGCAGGTTGGATGAGACGTGGGCCTCGTTGGCGGGGATTTCCAGTGGGTCTTGGTACTTGCCTTGCCCCGTCAGGACCATCATCACCCGCTTCCAGTTAGTGCAGGCCACTTTGGGCACGTAGCAGTAGAGCAGCCCGTGTGTATCATCCACTACCAAGTGCCGCAAGTCATCTGGCCGCAGAAGACGCCGTTTGCGGGTGTAACGGTTGCAGATGTTGCTCAACAGCTCCCGTCTCTGCTGATGAACTGCCTGCAGTGACGATTGCTCAAACTGGAGAGGAAAACAAAAGGGATGGTCACTAGCCTGTCCAAGCTGGTTGTGGCCTACACAACATTTGGCCCACAACTGTCCCCATCCCCTCCCCTTTCCTGGGTTTGGCCATCACCCATGTGAGATTTCTGGGGAGCGCGTTGACTTTGAACACAATTTGCTTTGGTCCATTTAATCCTTGGACCTGCTAGGGGCAAAAGACAGAATAAAATGTGATGAGGAGCCAGATGAGAAGTCAGATGGGGCGAGGGAAGAACAGGCAGTGCAGAGAGGTTCACCAACCAAACATTGTTACAGCACCCCCCACACACATTGGGCTAAAGCTTTCCCTTACACAAGTCTGGGGGGGTCATACATGGCCCAACCCTTCCAGGGGCAAGCAGCACAGCCCCCTTGCTGGCGCAGGGCCCCGCACACCTCCCGGCTGCGATGGGGCATTGCTGCGCTGACACCTACACCCGCGGGCTTGCTGCAAACACCACAGCCAAGAGGCAAAAAGGTGGCACACAGGTGTGGGCATGCATGATGGAAACGGCGCTGCCAAGGAGAGGCAAAGGGAGACGGGGGGAGGAAAAACGGTCGTTAAGGCTGACAGTCGAACCCTGGGGAGCTGGAGGTGAGCTGAGGTGGGGTGGGAGGGCCTGATGGAGAGGAGCAAGGTGCTGCTGAAGGTGATGGTGGTGGGGTCCTTCCTAAGGGCTTTGGGTTTGATCTCCTTGGGGATGTTTTCCACACAGGCTAGTCCGATGCCTCAGCTCTGGTCCCAGTCTCCTTTGTCCACAGGGCTGAGGAGTCCACATATGGTCCTTTATCCCATCTGATCCTTGCATCAAGGCCTGGCAGCCGATGCACCAGCTCCCCATGAGCCCAGAGCCCCCTGACCCAGCTGAAATGCTCCCCCCTCCAGATTTGGGGAAGTGACCTTTCCTGTCATGGTTTTCATCAGAAACCCTAAAATGTCATTAAAACATCTGGGGAAGCAAATTATTTCCAGGAACTCAGAAGGGGAAGGTCCCCTCCTCCTCCTGCCCACTCGCTCCCCGTTTTGCTCACGAGGATTGGGAGGTTTCCCACTCAGCCCTGAGGTCATCGCTGGGAGCCTCCTCCTCGCCGTGACCACTAACGGCTCCATCGCCCGTTTGCTAACCTGGGGCAGCTCTGACCCCACTGAGCTGTTGCTCTAATACAACGCAATGACCCTCATGTCACAAGATGACTGTGGCTTCCACTTTGTGGTTGTGAAGACAGTCCCGCTGGCATCACAGGGTGCCACGGCAAATGCCTCTGCAGCCTGCAGAGATGTGGCAACCTCGAGACGAAGGGCAATCGCATGCCACCTCCTTGGTCCCTACAGCCTTGCTGCTGACAGCTGTTATCACTTAGGCATGCCAAAGAACACCCTTTTCCAAGCTTCAGGTGCAGCCTCACCTCTCCTTGGGGGACTGTAAGGGGTTTTGGGAGGCACTAGAGCCTGGGAGAGGCAGCACTGTGGAGATGGGACTTTGTAAAGCTCCTGTCCTCAGTTGGAATCCTGAGACAAACTGCCCATCTCATGACAAGCAGACTCGTCTCCTTCGGAGGGGCACTAATGTGGGCAAAAAGCTCCTCCTGCAAGGGATGAACCATGCTCCGGCCCTTTGGGATCTGACTGCCTTTTTTTTCTGGGTCACCTTAGTGACCACTTTCTCCAGGAACCTTCAGGGGCAGTAACCTAAGACAGGTGCAGGAGAAAGCATCCCATCCCTGCTTCTTCCAAGAAAGAGATGTTAAGGGGAAATGCTCAGACGGAGGAAATGCAGGTCAACAGACTCCTAATTGCAACCAAAGGATGACTTTGGCAGTTGATATATGAAGAGGATATAGCACCTAGGGTGATGATAATCATAGCTGAAGGGGCATTCTTATGTTACACCTCCTTGCGACACAGCCAAACCTTTCAGGAGAAATTTCTTTTGTTTGGAGGCTTCCCATTACCCTTTAGAATCGGAAACCCTTTTTGCACGGGCTTTAAAAAAAAAAAAAAAAAAAAGGCATTTTAATCAAGTGGTATTTTTTTTTCAGGTGTTTTTCCCTGCACTTGCATAATTCAAAACTACTGGACCAAAGAGACAGACAGACAGACACTGTCTGCAGGCATGGCAACAAATAAATGTGACTACTTTTCAACAGCCGCCCACTGGAATAAGTGCATGTCTTGCAGTTATTTCAGAGCAAAATTGCTCCCTTCATTTCCTTCTCTTTAAAAGCTAGAGAAATTAAGTATCACTTTTAAGGAAGTAACACCAGGACATTCCAGCAGTGTTAGGGTTTGCAGCATCGTGGCCAAGGAAGTCCACATTTGCCATTTTTCTCAGAACAAATGTAATCTGGCTGCTTATAGACAAAAAAGCATCAACCTAGACAGTAACACAAAGTGTCATGTATGGAAAGGAGCTCTGGCTCCGGCAGCAGCGGGCACTGCCGAGGGGCAGGGGGGAGGCAGTGGGGATGGCAGCCGGCTGCAGGGACCACCAGCGTTGCCCTCTGCTTCTTGGGGAGCTGCAGAAGATGACTGCCCCATGGATGTGGGGAGATGCAGGGCATGTTCGGAGGCTGGGACATGTGGCCATGGCCCAGCCTGTTGTACCGGTTGGGGGGTGGTTTCCCACAGGACTTCCTGCTGGGAAGTTGTGGGCGAGGATCCCTCTGCAAAGACAAGTCTGGCTACATGGGTGGGCGAAAACTGCCCGCCCATGGGGGAAACACAGCAGAAGGAAACAACACGGCTTTCGCAGCTTCAGCCACAAACCCCCCAAGCTCCCGTGCAGCTGTGAAGGGCAAGCGGGCCACCCTCCCTGATGCCAGGTCACTGACGCTGGTTGGGCTGCACGGCTGGTGAGGGCGAGTGCTCCCTGCCTCAGGCAGCAACCGTGGCTTGTCCTGCTGCAGACCCTTACACAGGCAGGGACCCACTAAGCCCACTTGGAGGGGAGAGTTTCCCAGTGCCTGGATGTCCCTTTTTCAGCAGGTATAGCTGGCACAGCTCAGTGACAGAGAGAACTGACACGTCCCAGAATTACAAACCTCTCATGGCTGGGTCCCAATTTACATATGTATATATATGCATATACATACATGTGTGTGTATATATATAGCACCCAACATAGAAGCATCTATCAATTATTAGCTCAGAAAGTGCACAATGATGCTCTTGCCCTGCTATGATGGCTCACAGTTGGCTTTCAAACACTCAGATGCTGGAATCTCCTGGGTGTGCCCAGCCATGGCTCAGCCCACCAGTAACAAAGCTGTTGGCTCAAGTACCAGCGAGGGCCATAAGCAGGTTTTTTTATCAACAATTACTGCCCAAAGCAGCGTGGTCTTTTCTTCTGGACACAGCCAGAGATTCAGGCAAGGGGACCTTGAGGGTGGTTGGGGACAGCACTTTGCCCTGCAGACTGGGGGGGTGAAAGAAAGGCTCAACCCCCAGCACCTCACTCTTTTTTCACATCCCCATCTCCCTCCCCCGGCCCCTTACCTGGTCACTCTCATACAGGGCCTGGAGCGGGCTGCGTCCAGCCTTCCCCTGCCAGGTGGATCTCATAACCCCATCTTCTGCAGCTGGAAAAGGAGTGAGAAAAGTCAGAGGGGCTAGGAGGGGCTGCTTCCCTCATCCTCTCTGGGGATGCCCAAGTTGGGATGAAGCAACATCCCCCAAGAAGAGACAGATCCCCTTGGCTCTGGGAGAAGGTGCTTAAGCAATGCTTGTCCCTCCCTCTTTTTTTTTTAACAAAACCTGCAGTTAGGGTTCAAAAGGTCCAGACCTAACCTTTACACAAATAAAAGACAGTAAATAAAGAGAACGGCTTGTTAAAATGTCAAGAGCAAGTGGGAACAGTTCGATGCCTGTGCTTTTGGGAAATGCCACTGCATGCAGGCTGCACTGGTGAGGGAATGACCCAGGAGGTGACAGGACCCCGACCAGCATCACTGCAGACCCCTCAGGGGTGAGACAGAATCTGTTCTTGGCAGAGATAAGGGGCAGATCCAACACTGGCAGCTCTGTGCTGAGCTCCCACAGGCTCAGAGTTTGCACTTCTGGGCCCAGAGACACTGTCATTAATAGACAAATTGGCCAGATGCTTCATCTGACTGATAAGTTGTTTTAAGTTCTTATTTGCTTTTTTTTTTTTTTCCTTCCCTTCTAGACCAGCAACATCTTCTCAAGTGTTTCAAGCTGAAGACAGCGGACTCACACAAGCAGTCCTCACCCCCTCCCTGCCACACAGATCAGCTGGTTTGATTTCGGAGGTCTGTTTGCAGCGGCCATGGATCTGACCAGCCACGAACGCGGTGCCCAACACCCTGCTGGTGACAGATGCTCAAGCTGTCACGCTCATAAATTACGTAGGCATGCAACCACCTTCCAGGCTACGAAGCATCCGCTTCAGCTGCCGTCCTTCAGCCCCAGGGACCTGTTTCCAGCACAGCATGGGCAGACCTACATGGCCTGGCTATCCCAAACCTAATGCACAGAGCCAGCCACGACAGGGGCGCTGGCTCTCGCTTGCAGTAACACCTCCAAGCAGCTTTCCCACCTCTCACCCACCCTCTGCTTCTTGTATCTGACCATCTCCTTTGGCAGAGGACGCCATGACAGTTTTCATATGAGAAGAAGGTTTCTAACCATGGCGGTTGTGCAGCCTTGGAGTTGGCTTCCACAGAAGAAATCACACTGGTTTAAAATGGAAGATTACGTTTTTTCTGAAGGGGATGATAGGACACATTGTTTGGGAGATCGTGGCTTGGGACGTTCTTCCCGTCCTCCAAGTTCTTGCTCCTACAGGGACTTTCTGAAATCTCAAAGGGATGTATGTGGTGGAGGGAAAAGCACCTCTCACAAACCATTTCTGGCAACATGAAGGTTTCTAACCCAGAGGCTTTTTGCATGACAACTTGGGGCTCTGGATCTTTTCGTTCACTGACCATCACCAAACAGAAACAAATTAGTTATACAAGGCCCAGATGGCACCTTTTTAACCAAAATAACCAGAAGGAAAAAATCCAAATTCCATCTTCATTTTCATGTGCTTATATTTTTGCTTAAATGAAAACTGCTCCAAAGCACAAAGTCACCAGGGTCTAGGCTAAGCATTATTCATTCCTGGAGCTGTAATTAGGGGGAAATGACTGCCTGACCTCACAAGATTTCATCAGCAGTGCATGTACGCCTGCGCATTCATGGGAAATGACACTTCCTGCAGCACTGGGTTGATCGAGATGTGACTCGGTGAGAAGGGACAGTTTCTTCCTCAATCCCCCTGTATCAGTTACCCCACAGGAGGGTGAAAAGGCATCTGTGCTAATGAGAGATAAGTGGAAGTTCCAACGTACACAGTACTGGGCTGAGATGCTTGTCCCAGAGGAGACCCGTTTCACATTTCCAAGCTCAGCCCTCTGCAGATGACAGGGAATGAGATTGACCTTGAAAAGTCAACTCATTGCAGCTCGAATCTGCAAGCAGAGAACATTAAACTTGAGTCCCTTTCCTGGCCAGGGCTGATAAACTCCTGTGTGATTTAAGAGCATGACCCCACCGTGGGCTGTCTGCAAGCGCCTTACCCCACAGCAGACACTTGTACTATATTTAGTAAAAGCAACGTGGAGGCGTTTGTTTTCGAGATTAACACATGAATCAACCAGAACCTTTCTTACGAGGGACATAAGCAAATCACAGGTGGTTCAGGCTGACCTGAAGCCACTAGAAATGCAGCTGCTAGAAATGCAAATGTTGGTGCTGCGCAAGGGTGCGTGGAAACGCCATCCCGGGGAAAGGCTTTTGCGCCTGGTGCAGGGTCAGGTTAGGGCCCAGGAGGAGCAGGCTGGCTCAGCTGGAGGCTTTTTAGGGTGAACAAAAAGCAAATCTGCTGTAAAGCAGGGAGAGAGCAAAGGTTGGACAGGTCGGATCTGTGCTCTGACCGCTCTGGGCTGCACCCTTCAGTGCCGCTGGGGCAGGAGAACAAGCCTGGCCAGGGACTGCTGCACCTCGCATGACTCACGCCAACAGCCCCAGCAGAAATGTTGCAAAATGAATCTCCTTCAGCCTTTTCCCAGTGCAAGATCTGGCAGAGAACAAGGCATCTTCTCTGCATAGCAGCTAACCCCCTAGGATCCCTGCTGTGCTTATGCTGTACGGGGTTCCAGAAAAAAAAGGGGAAGAGAAAAAAAAAAAAAAAAAAAGGAAAAAAAGCTGCCAGGCTGCTCCCGTGCGGCTGGAGGAGCCTGGGAGCGCTGAGCTGGCAGGGGGAAGCTGCCAGCGCTCCCCACTCACTGCATCTTGACAGCTTCTGCTCTCCAAAGTGATGACACCATCCTCTGCCGGGGTGCTCGCCAAACCTTTCAGAGCAAACGTCTGGCCCAACGGCAGGCTTTCGCAAGGCTCCAACCGCAAGAAGTCGCCCCCCTCAGAAACCGTCTGCTCGTGCTACACACTGCATCCCAAGGAGAAAAGCAAACGGGCTCCTGGTTGGGCTGTGAGGATGACTTTTGAAGAGAGTGGCAAACCCTGCAGCAGAGGGGGAGATGCAGTAGCTGCAACCGTGCGCAGGCGGAGGGCAGCAGCCCATCTGTGTGCCCCGTGGGACCATAACGCCCATCCTCGGCAGGGCTGGGGGCAATGTGTGCTCAAACGGAGACAAGTCAGGGCTGCCTGTGCCCAAAGCATCCCCAAAACATCGGGGATTGCCCAGTGGAGCAACACGGGCCGTCACAGTGGTCCTCAAGCTAGGGCTGCTGCGACTTGCCTGAGTCAGTGAGAGGCTGTAGGCAGTGATTTAATAGAGTCCAGCCCCTCTAAGACCAGGCTTTGTCACCTAACACAGCTCTGCCCCATGACCCCAGGCTATGGCCATCCCCTGTTCACTAACCCTCAGCCCCAGCACCTGCAAGATCTCTGCTGATGTACTCCTCTCCCAGTCCTCACCTACATCACCAGACCCTGGGTCCTCTTGTGCAGCCCTAGGTACACAGCTCAGTCCTAATTTGAACACAAACCCCCTCTTCCCCAGCTGCTTCATCCCAGCCACCTCATCAGGCAATCCCAGAGTGTGCTCCCATCCTGTCCTCACCTTCACCACCCACCCCACGCAGGCAATGGCCCACCTGAGGAAGGCTGAGCTCAAGGGACTCCACAAGCTGGCTGAACTGCACAGCTGAAGAGGAAACCAAACATGGAGGGGGAGCTGGGGAAAGGTTCGATTCCTGATCTGTGCCTGTTTCTTCTATTAGATCTGGGATACAGCCTGAAGGAGGAGGGAGGAAAGGGACAGATGGGCAACAGCATTTACACATCCCTCTTCTAACTGTTCATGCTGAGAGCGAGTCCATCACCCCATCCCCATCCCTGGGATGCTCCTGGGACTCCAAGAGGTTTGGGAAGGCCAAGGAATACTGAAATATGTGACAGTGTTGAGGAGGGAGTATCATCAGAGTAAATTAATGGTTCATGCTGCATTTTGGCACCGTGGCCCTGAGTACAGCAGGATCTTCCATCATAAGGCAATTGCCAAGATCTTTGCATCCTGCCTTTCCTACTGACTTTATAGCTTGTTCCCGAGGCTCCCAGATTCCACCACATACAGTGGTAATATTTGGAAATTTAGCATTGCCACAATTGCATCCGAAAGCAGAGATGTCACTTCACCAAGGTATATCAAGTTTCTAAAGGGGAGAAAACATCAACCCTAGCCAACTGCTGGATCACCATTTGTATAACAAGTATCAAGACAGTGTATATCCGTAATCCAAAAAGTTTTTCACTGAGACAGGCAGAAGGAAATAGCTCATTTGTCATTTACATCTTCAAAGGATGAGGCAAGGGAATTGGAGTGATGCAGAGCAAGAGACAGAAAACCCCGTGCCATGGCAGTAACACAGACCAGAAATCACTGAATGAGATGAGCCTGTAAGGCAGCTCAGGCACATTTTGGAGTCTCCTGTGCTACAAGTGCTTTCAGTCTTTCTTTCAGAGCTTAAAAAGGCAACATGCTCCCTCCCTCCTTTCCCTCTACAGCCCAGATTTTAGTTCTGTCCCATCAAAACCAAAGCTAATCTCTCGCAGTGCTGTGACATCAATACCGCAGCAGGATCTGGGGTTTCAATGACTTGCCAACTCTCTTTGGAAAAGGGAATAGATTTTAAAGCTGTGAATATTTAGGTGTACTAGCTGATTACAAAGACAGCCAGACATGTGAGAGGTGAGGGAAAGACTGGATCATGCCCATTCCAGACTTCTGGAAGCAACAGCTTCCAAGAATTTGTTGGTTTGGCTGTAGATACTCTTAATTACAGAGGGAGGATCTCAGCAACCACAACAGCAAATCCAGCGCCTGAATTGAAGAGTCTGGCTAGGAGACAGGATTCAGGCAGCAACAAGCCTGCTAGGCTGACATCAGCATTACCAAGGCTATATAAAACAGTCTGAAGGAAAGAAAACAATTAAAAGATGTGGGTGCAACTGGATAGGAGAATAAAATCAACATGGCATTTACTAAGCGCAACTTATACCCACACAACCTCATCTGTGAATAAAATAAGCCGTTTCTATAGATCAAGCACATGTG